CTCCCCCAACCTCTGTTCCCCCGTCCCAGGCTTAAACAGAGCGGAGTTCATTTTTTTTTTAGTAGTAAGAAAAAGCAACAGACTTTATTAAAACAAATGCACGGTACATAAGTTCATATGCTCTGCCATAGCGTACAGCATGTCACTCTGCAAAGCTAATTCCCTGATTACATCAGTCTCTGTGGAATTTAAACATGTTGTGCAAACATTTTGTTAAATCCTTTTCAGAGCTCAGGTCCAACCACAGTCTTCACTCTGTCACATTCCAGAGAGACTAGTGGAACATTTAGTTTTCCTACACGGCTAAATCACTTGCTCCTCGCGGGGATGTGGAACACCTCGACCTGGCAGGCAAGACTAGTCCACAGCCTTAAGGCCCAGACTGCGTCGGTAACACACGGAGGGTGAAGAAAGAAATGGGGCGAAAGTCAAACTGCAGAAGCAAAAAGAGATGCGGAAAGAGATTGGCCAGTCAATACCGGTCAGTACAGAACCCGGTAAGAGTGTCAGAGGACAGGGAAAGATCCAGAGAAATACAGGATACAACAACAATAACAAACTACATAATTCGCCAATTACGTTGTATAGCGCCTTTCACGTCAGGAGGACATCGCAAGGCGCTGGACAGTCAGGGATCCATCTCTGACCTGGTAGTTGGGATCAGGAAGGCTGGAGGGTGGGGAGGGGTAGGAAGATGACCAAAGGCACGGTCGATTACAGGACGGCCATAAAGTGGCGCTAGCTGGATAGTGGCGAAACAGTGCAATTCTGGCTTCTAGAGCCAAGAGGCTGGTTTCCCATCCTATAAATAACTGTCTTCTAGGTCACCCCAAACTTCGCCTCCCACCCCTGTACTCTCGCCCATACTTTGCGCAGAAAGCGATGACGACTTCATGCTGCAAAAGAATTGACAGCAGCTACCCTTCCAAACAACAACTTGCCTTTACATAGCGCCCCTCACTCGGGTAGCCTCCCAGAGCTCTTGACAGTGATAGAGCACGATGCTTAGCCGGGGGTGGGGGGGGTGGGGGGGGATTAGGCGACTGTAGGTACTTTCGAAGAGGTGCAACCTGAAGATGGGGAAGGAGGGGGCAAGGCGAAGGGATAGAGGAAGACTGTCCCAGAGTTACGGACCGTAGAAGCTGACAGCAACGTTAGCAGCTGCATTTCCTATTGATGTCACTTTCTGCAGGTCGCATGCAATCCGTCTTGCGGAAGTGACATCAGCCTGAGCGAATAGACCCCGACCACCAAGTAGTAACGGGGTTTTCCCCCATTCACATACAGGAGTAACTGTAAAATGTGAACAGCATTGGTAAGGCTGTAATGACTTTCACTCTTGTATCGGTTTCAAGCCCCGCGCAAACCCACTTGGAAGCTTAACCGAAACATCCTGTGTAAACATCTTACAGAAACGAAAGGGTCAAGGCTCAGGAAATATCAAAGCAAAAAAGAAAATAACCCTGCGCCCAACTTAGATGGAAATAACAGGCAGCATTCTCTAAAAGAGAAATCAAATCCCGGCAGTAAAGTTGACTCAAAAGTTCACAAGCCTCGTAACTTTAGAAACGCTTTACTTTCTGCTAAAGTGTTACTACAAGCAAATCCCATCTAAAACATTGTAATATAATAATGATAATTATCATTTATTATTGCGTTTGATATAGTGCTTTATCAAGTCATTGAGACGTCTCAAAGTGCTTTACAGAATATACTGTAAAATGAATTGCATGCCCCATTTTATCTTGGTAATGGGGTGGGAGGGTAGTGGTTTATTATTGATAGATGATAAAAATCAGAACATACAGGTGGCTTATTAACATTGGCGCTGTGTTTGTAAGGCATATTTGGTGACCAATAATTTTCATTTCAATTTGTTGGTTCGTTCGCTAAAGAAAGTGCATAGCTTTCTTCTGACCAGTGCAACAGGACTCTCCTGGACGTAATGTTACTCAATGGCCCGAGTGGCCCAAATCCCAGAGGGTTGGAAACATACAAGTTGGTCACATATTTGGCAATGTTTATTTTAGCTGCAGCGAGGAAAAATATGTGGTCACAGAACAGAAATGTTAGGGTGACAGATACGAACTGCAGTCACTGAGATAGTCATCCCTGAAGCATGCGGTAATTACAATGTTGGAAATCCAACTGCTTGTAGCCCGCATTAAACGATGTCATTAGCCACACACTCCAAAAGGAGATGATCTAAAACCAACTTTGCTTTGCCAACAAAGCAGTCTTCTCATTTAGGGAAATGAGTTGTTTGAGCTTTGTGAAAACACAACAGGATGTGATAGGTTTGGTAATTCCGGTTGTGTTGGCTCAAAGATCAGCTGGTAGCACTCTTGCCTCTGTTTCAAAAGCTTTTGGGTTCAAATCCTGGAACAGATCCTAGTATAAGCTAATGCTGTTGGATCACTATATTGTCAGAGATGCTGCCCTTTGAATGATACGTTAAACTGAGATATCTCTCTATTCAATGGAACTCTAAATATCCATAGCTCAATTTGAAAAGGGAAGGGAGTTTATCCTGGTTTTCTAGCCTAAAGTCCTCCAGATAAAAGTAATCAGTCCCCGGCGATCAAGCTTTCAGCCCATCTGCCCCCTGCTCTCAAAAACTCGGGCCAGAGTTCCTCCGACTCGACCCCTCACTCACCTCTTTCAAAGCTGTGGTTAACAGTCATAGACTGCACCTTCGGTCATTCTTCCCCTCCCCTCCGACCCCTCCCCCGGCTCCCACCCTCAACTTGGGCTCCACGTTGAGACTGTCAAGTGCCATGGGACATCCTGTTGATGTGAAAAGCATTGTACAAATATGTATTTGTATTGTATTCAATCACTTTGTGGCTGTTTGGGACATTGCTGCGGGCAAATTGGTTGCGTTTTTCAGCTACAAAAACAAAGTTATTAAACTTACAGTAAAATCTAGTGAAGTACTTAGAGACATTCCTAAGATGTGATAAGACGCTATGTCAAATGCACAGATGATTGTAATTAATAAAGGCTTGGTCCAACCTCTTTGTTTGCCAAATGGAGAAGTGAATGTGATCAGTCATTATTCATCTGATTATATTACTCAGACTTCTTCAATCCTTTGCTTTGAAAAGTCCTCTATGGTTTTGTGTTCCTCTGGGCACAACCCAGCACATGTTTTCACTTATTTAGGCTATCGCAGCTGCCCTGATGCGTTTCATCCAGTGGTGAATCGTGAGCAGCTGATATTAATACTGGCTCCATTTCTGTTCTAAAACCCATTCCTAATAGCACAATTTTCAACCTTGTTACACTGGAATGTTTTTTTTTGGTTAGCAGGGTGTCTGACCCACACAGAAACCCAGCACCATGCTTAAGAGTATTCAAACCAGACAGAGTGTACGCACATATGTTTGTAATGCCATTTTCCCCCCCAAGTCTGGATGTGCACTCTATCCCCAGAGGGACGCACCCTGCTCACCTAATTCCAGAGAGCGTTAGATGCAGGTTGGCAAGAGCTAAGGCTTTGATGTGTGTGTGGGGGGGAACACCAGAGCATGAATTGGGGGTAACTGCTGGAGTTTAACCAACTAAAACTGAGCAGCTTGCCATTGAGAGCACTGTCTAGAAAGCTTCCTGCTGCTTTTCCAGCTAGGACCACCCTGCCATGAAGACATTGGCTTGCAGGGTTAACAGGAGCTGAGTGGGAAGGTGTCCCTGCCTCAAGTTAACACTGGAATCTTAGATATATCACTTCCTAACATGAGCCAACTTTTCATTCCAGCCTTTCATTCCCAACTAAGGCAGCATAGCAACATTGGTAAGGCGCATTAATCAATGCTCCTCGAACGGGCTCGAGCCAGTGAGTTACATTGACTGAACTCAATAATACAAACCAGAGCAGAATCTAATGTGAGTGTGACATCCCCACAACAGCAGGACTCTCTGGAAGATAAAACTATCTGAAACATATAGTGGATTATACTGTGGGTAAAAGCCAGGAATAAACTTGTGTAAAAATGTAATGAGATTCAAAGAACCACAAATGTTATTAACTGTATCAAGCTTTTTAGGCATGGTTTGTGAAGAGCTATACATTTTGATTGAAAGGTGCTTGGAGAAATATACAGTGGAGGAAACATTAGGCTTTAGGTAAACCTCAACACAGCTTTGAACATTATAATAAAATCTAGCGACTAAACTTTTCAATGGGATCTTGTAGGGAATTCCACTGGAATTACTGACAAGCATTGTTGATTAGTTGGAATAGGTTAATGGGAGTGCTGTTGTCCAAGGTTCTGTGTGACACAGGTCTGATTCCTGGCAGCTGTTCTCATCTGCAGGACTCCAGTTCCTTATTAGGTAATCCCGTTAAGAATTTCCACAATTTAGAAAGTAACTCTTGCAATGGGCGCAACCAACTAATTCCAGGAACGCTTGAGCAATGGCATGCATTAAAATGCATAGATTCCCAATGACAGCGAACTTTTAACAGAATGAACCCTGTGCTAGGTTACTGGCTTCCTGTAAGAAAACAAAGAACAGTGAGCACAGGAAGTCAGCCTGGGTAACCACACCATATGGTGTGGCTGATTAGCAATTCAAAGTTGTTAATGAAAATTGTTTGTGGGTTCAAGCTGTATATCGGGACGTTGAGCTCACAGTCCAAACTAACTCTTCAACAACTGTCAGATGTGCCTTCCTTCCGAAAAGATGTTAAACAGAATTGTCGCCTGTCTGTTAAGGTGAATGATAAAGAAACCATTATTTTTCCCCCCCACAAATAGGAGTTTTTGGGGTTCTGGAATGTCCTGCCAAGTAAGATGGTAGAGGCTAAATCTACTGTGGGTTCCAAGAGAGAAGAATACAGTTATACGAAGGATAGAGGCTTGAAGGGCACTGCGATTGAACGGGCACTTAGCTCTTGAGAGTCTGTGTAGACTCAACGGATTGAACAGTCTCTTTCTACGCTGTCAATTTCTGGTGCTTCTCTGTGGAGGAGGAATAAATGCAGAGAGAGGAATTGTGCCGCAATTTAATCTTTATTGTAAACGTTCAAGTGATGTGACATACAGTTCTCTTAAGTGCCGAGCTGTGTGAAGTGTTAGCACAAGTTTATTTAATACACTGAAAAATACAATAAAAAGCCCCATTCACTTTGTGTTTAATATCACCATAATCCACCAAATGGTAACTATATTAAATCTATCAGTTCACCAAAGCAAGAGAATAATAATCATAATCCTTGCATTTGATATAGCGCCTTATCATGTCTTCAAAATGTCTCAAAGCGCTTCACAGAATATACTGTGAATGGATTGACTGTATATTTTGTGGGCTCAGAAGGAAAATTATGCCTTAAAAAGCAGTAAAAGGTGCCTCAGTTATCAGTGAAACATAGTGTTGTATCTGAACGCATATATAATGAACTAACATTAAAAGAGGAAAGTGTACAGTTCAGCAGAGAGTGAGGCAACTGTGACCTAGAATGACATCGACTTTCTTCTGAGTCAAAATGTCCCCGGTCTTCATTAAGTGTTAGTAAGTGCCCCAGCGCCTCCGCCATACCCAAAGCCTTTCGGTCCGAAATTCTTAGAGTAGCAACCTGTGGAGAGATGATGATGTTTGAGTGAGGGATGTTGTGAGTAGTCACAAATCTCACACACATGAAACGGTGACAGTTTCTCTGGCAGTGAGATTTCTATAAAAATAGAAAGTCCCCACGAGATTAAAAATGACAGCATTGCAAAATAAATTTTAAAAAATCTGTATAAAAACGAGTTTAGATTTACCAAGGCAAGTCTCACTTAATCAAAACAGACGCTTTCCAGCCTTAAGGACTATGAACGGGTAAACTGTTCAGTGCTCCAACCCCACACTCATCACTCATATAATGTCTTTAACCATACACTGAAGCAACATGCCCTGCAAGACTGAACTGTAGTCTAATACTGAACTGTTGACGAACCTTTGCAATAGATCTCTCCATCCTTGTCAGCCAGCGTTGTGGACTCCAGACCTTTCGCGCACTTGGCACAGCGGAAGCACAACTTGTGCCAGGACTAAATAGAAAAGGAAAAGAATACAAAAAAAATGACCTTAATAGAGCAAGCTCTTCACACTCAAAACTTCAGCGTTGTCCAAAATCAGCCAAGGAACATCCTCTGCCTCATAAATTGCTCAATAGTATAAGCCTACTGTCAACAGCTTAGACGCAATGCCAAACCTGCTAAAATCTTTCAACTGGATTCTCGATGAGCAGACTGCAATTGCGTTAGGACCATAACTGAGCAACCACAGTGTTTACAAACGGGACACCAGGTTTTGCTCTCCTCTCCCATTAGCAAGTGTAAACATGTGGAACGTAGTAATCTCTTTAAGCAACAACAGCAGCAACTTGCATTAATATAGCACCTTTCACGAGGGGTAGCGTCCGGAGCGCTTCACGGTCGCGGAGTCCACCAACGAGCCAGGGGGAGAGGAAGGGGGCAGGTGACCGTAAGCACGGTCAAAAAGCAGCATGTGTTTATTTTCCACCCTCCCCTCAACAACACTGCAATAGTAATGCTAAGGGGCCAAAGTTATCCTATATTCTAGCTCGACTTCCAGTGTCCGTTAAGGTTATTTTGGTACGTTGACCAGGATGACAATGGCCACGTTTCCGTGCACGAGTTAGGACATTGGCATGTTAGGATATGCAAATGGGTAAGTTTCCCACCCCCCCAAGTGAGTCGAACCAGAAAATAAGCTTGTCTCATGCTGCAGATCCACTAGTGATGACACCAGGGTCATCAAAAGCAAGAGTCACCCCACAGGGAAGAGATGTCCCAGTGATCGGACTTTCACCTTCACCAACACTCCTGGAGGCTGAAGGTTTTACATTTACCAAAATAAAACGGTTACACAGCCAGGTTAAAGACGGGAGTCGCCCAATATTCAGGCTCGGCTGCCAGCAACTGTTATACAAGCTAAGAAGACAGGTTAAAATAAAAGTCCCAGAGCCACAAGGGGACATCATCCATGTCTGTCCCAGATAACTGCTTTACCTTGCCAGCTCCAATCACTTTCTCAGCAGCATAAACCGCCTTGTCACATCTAGGGCAACGCTCAGAGCCACCAAATTTCTGAGCAAACCGGGATGAATTGGGGTTGTTGGTTGGATAATGAGTCACAGGCCTGAGGGTTCAAGAGAATAAAATTAGCAAATGGTGCATAGAGAGTGAAAACAGTTGATAACATTGCCTGATGTAGAGCACCGCAGCTTTCTCAACTCCTTTCTAGCTTCACCCACAAAATATACAGTCAATTCACTTTACAGTATATTCTGCGAAGCACTTTGAGGCGTCTTGAAAACGTGATAAGGCGCTATATCAAATGCAAAGATTATTATTCTTACTGCATGACGTCCACAACAGAGAAGCATATATTCCAGAACACAACAAACCAGCTTGTCATGGACCCAATTTAACTTAACTTGGGCATCTTTACTAGACATGCAACAGTTGCAATAAATTGCTGCAGCGCAGATTAGGGATTGAATGTTTCAATTCAGTGAAATTGTGAAAGTACACCCAGAACAAGAAAATCAGGTGAACCAAGACATCAGAAGAGGAGACCACAGGTTTTGAGTTACAAAACAGCAATTTCAGGACAGACATCAGGATGGATTTCTTTACCCGGGGGTAATTTAACTCGTGGAGCAGGTTGCCAGGAAGGGCAGTTGAGGTCAGGACATTGGATCCATCTAGGAAATGATCAGCTTGAATCTGGGATGGGAAGATGGTAGGAAGGGTATTCTGGAAGGAAGAGATCAAATGGTTTGAAGGGACTTCTTTGTCTGAAGGAACCCTGTGATAAACTGGTTGCCAATAATTTGACTTACATTTAAGCAAAATAGTTTCTAAAAAGGAATTATGGGTTTTACAAGTTTCCTAATTGAGTCCTAAGCCTTGTTTTTTAAAAAATAATAAAAACACTAGTTTTTCCCAAATGCAGTTATTTTCCAGTCATTCACTTTACGAACAGTTTTAAACAGATTTTGTTAAACTGGTCTCCTCCTAGCTAAGTGATCTCGATTTCAGAGTTTAAAATGAAAGCCACATACAGCATTTCATTCTGAAAATAGTCATACAGTAAAACACCCAAATATCCCACTTCAAAAGGTAAATAATGATAATACTTTTGGTCACTTAATCCACATCTATTTGTGGGAGACTGCTGTGCGCAACTGGCTGCCGTATTTTGGCCACAAAGTATACAGTCAATTCACTTTACAGTATATTCTGTGAAGTGTTTTACGACATCTCGAAGACGTGATAAGGCGTTATGTCAAATGCAAGGATTTGTGTCCCACTACATTGCACAAATTGACTGCCACGCTCACCTATAAATACAGGAGCCAGAGCAATTCCTCGTGAAAGTCTTCGAGACATGTCAACATTATAGGCGATAAATTAACCACAATCGTGATGCTTAGGGTATTTGTGTTTGATAGGGTATTCCTAAAGATTGAAAGCAACCCACATACTGTACTACAAGTGGTTAAAGATTCCCTAATGCGGAACCCAGCTAAGGCTTTGCTCTGCCTCAGCTGATGTAATGGATTTAGCTTGCTCTGAAAGTGGAACTAAAGCAACAGTAATGAAGCCATTCCTCTCATGCCATTCATGGTTCACACCGCCCAATTACTGGGAAGGAAATTCAGACATTTTATTCCTTTCGCTCTCCACAGTATCTTTTACAACCAAGATTTAGGGCAAGAAGCGTCAACTGCGTTTGAATTTAATTTTCTTGTGACTGCACTAATCTAATATTAACACTAGTGGGAGTCACATATACTAGAGTCTGTATAATCCCAACTCGCACGATAACAGGACCGTGATAGTCTGTTGCAACGCGATTGCATGAATGAACGCAGTCTTCCACGGTCAGGGTTCAGGTCATGAGGTTGCCACCTCTCGTGCGCGAATGGGAAGTGACGTCAGCTGTGACCACTGACTCGGAAGTTGACTATTTTTTAAAAAAATAATAAAGCAAGGATCTGCCAGCCTGCAATGCGTGCAGCGAATGGAGTCCAGACCCCAGCAAACTGGTATTATAATGCGTCTCTAACTGTTTGCAGCAATTTCAAACAGTTTCCTTAATAAGGAAACTCAAGTACATCAGATCAACCAACAGTGACACAATCTACTTTTGAAGTGGAAGTTCCCACAAATTGGCACAATGTAGTTCTCGTCACTGGGAGAAGTCCCCACTTAGATTCCTTATGAAGGAAACCAGTTAGAAATCACTACATAATTTAGACCCTTTATATGGAATTTTGCTACCAAGCAAACATCATGTGGACCAGCAGAGCCCACAACCACAACTTGCATTTATATAGTACCCACCCCACCGTGCAGGATAGGGTCTCGGAGCGCTCGACAGTGGCAGAGCACATCACCGAGCTGGGGGCAGGTGACCTATAGATTTACTGCTCAGTCTGTCCTTACAAGGAATCCTATTAGACTCACCCTTCAGATTTGATTCCCAGTTTTTCTCCGCTGTCCGTACTCAGAGTACCCGCACCTTGGCCATAACCGTAGCCTTTGGTTGCATATTTCTTACCATAGCAACTTTTGCAGTAAATCTCATCTTGGTGAACGGCAATTGTGGTGCTGTCAAGGTTTTTCTTACAGACCACTGGGAACAAAGCACAGGGTAATTGATAAGACAAGATCTTTCAATAGCTAGTGGTCACCGTTTACTTTATGATTGACAAGTACTTTGACATTTCATCAATAATTATGGGAATCCTTGCAGTTGAAATACTGCTTTATTGCATCGAGACATCTCAAAGCACTTCACAGGATTTACTGGAACGTGTAGGTAGGGACTGTGCATTTTAGTACGTATACCCAGCAGCCAATTTGTTCGCGGCAATGTCCCACAACCAACCATCAAGTGAACGACCAATTTTATTTAGGGGATTGTTGGCTCGAACACTGGGGGAATCTCCTGAGTCAGAAGGTTGCCCCTGTTGGGACTTTCAATTCAGAGTCTGTTGTCAGAGGCGCTGTGCTGTCTGCCTGTCCAGAAAAACATAAAAGAACCTTGTGATATTATTTATAAAGTAAAGGGAGATTCTCCTGGTGTAACAGCCCTCAATCCTCCAGATTAAAAACAATTATCATTCACTTTATGGCTGTGCACAAATTGGCTGCTGTGTTTGCGTATAAATACAGGGTCACTACACTTTACACAAAAAGTTAGAACGCTTCAAGATGCTCAGACCTTATAAGACGCAATGTCAATTGCAAAAGTGCTCAGGTTAGGACAGGCAGACAACCTCGCCTCAATCAGCAGAAAAGTATGCAGAAGAGAATGCCAAACTCCACTGGGTTTCTGTGCTAAGCAAACAATGCATTGGGAGGTGAGCAAATCAAACACTGCAGGCAACAGTTGAAAGACTTAACAAAAAACAGCTCCAAGTCCTCATGCGAAAATTGACGTGACTAAACTTTTAAAATGCTACTCTGGTGCGCACGTAATGGGTAAAATCTTGCCTGAAACACTGCCAAATGTTTTAAATGAATTCACACAGACATCATTTTGCTGGTAAACACCAATTTACACAACAGCTGCAATAATTTAAGACCAGAGTCTGTTTGCTGAAAAGTGCCAAGGGAGCATCTTAAAGGCTTCAGAAAATGTAGACAATTACAGAAATGCCTCTCATCACATATTATGGTTTCAAAGGCTTCAAGCAATAAAGCAATAATTCCTACAATCGATGTAGCACCTTTCACGTCAGGAGGACATCTCAAAGTCTTTAAGCTCTTCACAGGATAGACTGTGTATTTTGTAGGCAAACACAGCATCCAATTTACATATAATAACGTCCCACAAATAGGCATGAAGTGAATGATCTTTCCTTAGGGGATTGTTGACCTTAGGCCTGTTTTTCAAGTAATGGATATTTAACGTCCATTTAAAGAGGAAGACATGACATTGGTTAACGTCTCATCCAAAGGACAGCACCTCCAACAGTGCAGCGCTCCCCCAGCACAACATTAGAATATCAGCCTGAACTATATGAGCTCAAAGTCCCGATGTGGGGGTTTGAACCCACAACCTTCTGACTCAGAGGTGAGTGCAACCAACTGAGCCGGGCTGATGCACAATACATTTCAGACACAGCCATAGCAGCTTCACTGACTGATTTCACTAAAATTATTAAATTAAATTCAGGGCGAAACAGTTGAATTAATGCAATGGAAAATAAATATTAATCTCGTATCCCCTAAAAATAAATATATTAATAAAAAGGTAAAATGATACATATAAAGATGTTCGTTTAATAATTTGAAATCTAAGACAAGCACTCACAGGGTGAAATCAGAAGCTACACAGTCTTACATCTGTAAAAACTCTTAAGCGTTGATAATGGAATAGTTTCAACAGTGATACAGAAAAATCCAGGTTCACCACAAAGAAATTGGGGAGGCAGAAAAATTGGGATTTTTTGTATACTGCACACCATCAGAACTCAACCATATAGGAAGAAATTGTAGCTAAAAAGATAAAAAGGAGCCTATACTTTAATAGCGGCAGGATAAAGTGGGATTTTGGAAGAGGGGATAGTCGATGACTCTCACCAGTGGGCTAACCATGCTTCGCTGACCCCTCCGCCGCTTGCTTTTCGCCTCGGCGTGCATGTTATGGCTACCGCCACTGACCCGAGCTGCTTCCCCGCAATGCCCCCACCCCTGTCCTCTACCCTCACTTACTCCCGCTCGATCCACCTCTCCCACCGCTCTCCCCGACTCCTAACCCTGCTCGACCGTCCCACTGCCTCCCCCTGCGAATCCTCCGTCGGGCCCACCGTGGGAGTTGCCGTTGGCTGCCCCATCCCCTACTCTCACCGCAGGGCTCACAGGTCTCCGACAGGTCCAACCTCTCCTCCTGATCCACATCCCTACCCTCCCTATCAGTCCCCCCCACCCCAGCGACACCTTCCCCCTGACTGAGGCCACACCACCCGGCTACACCTTCCATCACATCCCTCGACCTAACTGCCATGGTGGCTAGGTTGCTCTCATCTCCCGGCCCCCCGCTCCGCCTATCCCCTTACTCCTCTGGAACTTTCCCTTCCTTCGAGCACCTTATCCTTTCTCACCTCCAACCTTTCCTCAAAATTCTCCTCATCTACCACACCCCCCCCAAGCCCTTCCCACCTTCATCCCTGACATCTCCACCCTCCTATCTTCCCTCTCCCTTTGCTCTGAACACCTCCTCATCCTTGGCGATTTCAACCTTCACCCTCTCCTGCTCTACCTCTCCTGACTTCTGCTTCCTTATCTCCTCCCTCAATCTCTCCCGCCACATTCACTCCTCCATCCACGCTCGTGTTCATCCCCTCAACCTGGTGATCACTCGGGGCCTTACCATCTCGGACCTCACCATCATCGACAAAGCGATCTCGGACCATCACGTCAACTCTTTTAACTCCTCAATCCCTCTCCCCATTGCCACCCAACCCAACTCAATGTCATACTGCCCCTGGAAAAAAATTCCCCCCCACCGGCTGCCTTGGAGTCATCTGAACTCCTTCCCCTCTGGGCATTCTCCCGCAATGACCTATCCTCCTCGGTCACCCTTCTCCACAGCTCCCTCTTCTCCACTCTCGATTCCCTCGCTCCCCTCTCTTCCCGAGCCGTCGGCCACTCACGCAAATTACCTTGGTACACCAGCCACCTCCGCTCCTTAAAGCCCATGTGCGTTCCGCTGAGCGCAACTGGCTTAAATCAAACCTAACTGTCCACTGGCAGATTTGGCTGGACCATGTCAAATCCTATCACTCCGCCCTCACCTCCGCTAAATCGCTGTTCTACTCCAAGATTGTCTTGGAGGCTAAGGACAACCCCAAGCTCCTCTTCTCCATCACGAACTGACTCCTCCACCCACCCACTCATGCCTCACCCATCTTCAACTCAAATGCCAACTGCGAGGCGACGCTGAACTTCCATGAATCCAAAGTCGAGGGAATCTGCTCAGCTGCCTTTGCCACTGCAACTGCTACCCCCTTCCCATCTCCTCCTCCCACCCCAGCCGCTACCCACCCCTCTCTCCACACTTTTGAACCCGTCTCCCCCTCCTCTCTCATCACCATAACCTATATGAAACCCACCACCTGCTCCCTCAACCCCATCCTTACCCCCTTCCTTACCTCCCAGCTCAACCTCCTTGCCCCTCTACTCATTGACATCGTTAACCTCTCCCTATCCTCTGGTACTGTTCCCATCCCTTTAAAAAACACCATCATCACTCCTATCCTCAAAAAACCCTCCTGGACCCTTCTCTACTCCCTAACTCCCACCCCATCTCCAACCTCCTCTTCCTCTCCAAGATCCTGGAACAAGTTGTTGCTTCTCAGCTTCACTCCTTCCTCTCCCACCACTCCCTTCTCGAATCCCTCCAATCGGCTTCCATGACACCCACAGCACAGAAACCACCCTAGTCAAAGTGACAAATGACATTCTGTCCATCTGCAACCAAGGCTCCCTCTGCCTCCTCGTGCTCCCTGCTGCTTTCAACACCATCGACCACTCTATTTGTGGAGTCGACCACTCTATTTGTGGAGTCCTGTAGCTCAGTGGTTAGAGCACTCGCTTTGCAAGCGAGAGACCTGAGTTCAATTCCAGGCAGAGGGCGAAACCTTGGGCAAGTTTCCTTACTCCACACGCCTAATAATAATCCCTCCAAAACCAAAAACAATAATAAAATTGGTCATTTTCAATCCATGACTGTTTGTGGGACATTGCTGTGCGCAATTGGCTGCCGCGTTCGCCCACAAATATACAGTCAATTCACTTTACAGTGTGTTCTGTGAAGCGCTTTGGGACGTCCTCCCGACGTGAAAAGCGCTATATCAAATGCAAGGATTATTATTATTATTATTATTATTATTATCCTCATCCACCACCTCTCCTCTCACCTCAACCTCCACGGCACTGTCCTTGATTGATTCAGATCATACCTCTCACACCGCCTGCACTTCATCTCCTCAAATGACTTCTCCTCTAGTCCCTAGACCTTCTCATGCAGCATTCTCAGGGCTCTGTCCTCGATCCCCTCCTCTTCAACATCTATATGCTCCCTCTTGGTGACATCATCCGCAGACATGGGGTCAACTTCCACATCTAGGCAGATGACACCCAACTCTACCTCTCTGACTCCACCCTGGACTCCAGGACCACTGCTGTCTTGACAGAATGTCTGTCAGACATCAAGTCCTGGATGAGAGTGAACTTTCTTCAGTTGAACGTCAACAAGACCGAGGCTCTCCTGATTGGCTCCCGTCAGCGCCATGGTTGCACACTCCACCTTGTTAAGCCAGTCCAGAATCTTGGGGTCTTGTTTGACCCTGAACTATCCTTTCTACCCCACATCTACACCATGACCCGCTCTGCCTTCCCCCACCTCCGCAACGTCGCCCGGCTCTGACACTGTCTCACACTGCAGACCACTGAAAACAACACACCTTCATTACATGAAGCTCGACTATGCAAACTCACTGCTTGTCGGCCTCCCCAACTCCTCCCTCCACAGGCTGCAGATCATCCAGAACTCTGCACCCTATGTCCTCTCCCACACCAGGCTCTGTGACCCTATCACCCCCATCCTCGTCCGACTCCACTGGCTTCCCATCAAACAGAGGATACAGTTCAAGATCCTGGTCCTCACCTTCAAAGCCCTCCATGGTCTTGCTACCCCCTACCTCTACAACCTCCTAAACCCCTACCATTCTGTTCGCTCCCTCCGCTCAGCGGGTTCCGGCCTGCTTCACGTTCCCCCATCTTGCTCGCCCCACTATCGGTGGGTGGGCCTTCCACCACTCGGCACCCACCCTCTGGAACTCCATCCCGCAGTCCCTCCATCTCGCCCTCACCATCTTCAAGACCCTCCTCTTCGAATGTGCTTTCAATCTCCCTGCTTCCCCATCCTGCCCTCCCCACTCAACTCAGATCCGTAACTCTGTTTGTCCAGCGCCTTGGGATGTTCTCCCGACGTGAAAGGCGCTCTACAAATGTAATTTTGCTGTTGTTCTTGTGGACAGATTTAAACGCATTGCACGTCTACATCTGCAGCTGGGATGACCCATAATCGCTGATACAAGCATGGCCAAGTTGCCATAACATCAAAAAGCAAAATGCATTGGAGCGCAAAAGGTCCTTCACGCATGAACGATGCATTCTGAAGCATGACGGTTTAGGCCTGTTTGCTAAAGCAGGGGTAGAGAAAGTGCAGATTTTGCAATATGTAACCAAGAGGCTCAAGTTTACCTTGAATCAGTTACCAACATCATCAGAATAGCAGAATAGTCATTGCACTTACACTTACCCCATAGTTAACATGTGTTAATATGGGCCACAATTTGGGGGATTTTCTGAATGCTCTTCAGGAATCTAATTTGATAGAAGTTGGAGATCACCTACAAAGTACACAGGCACTACATCCAACAGTAAATCCTGTGAAGCACTTTGAGACGTGCTCCCAACATGAAAGGCGCAATGTCAAATGCAAGGATTCTGTCCTCTGGATGCGTCATTAAACTGAGGACCATCTGGTCAAGCAGACAGTAAGGATCGTAGAGCACTGTTTCGAAACAGTGGCTAGCGTCCTGGCCAACAAATCCCCAAATAAAATTGGTCATTCATTCTATGGCTGTTCGTGGGACATTGCTGTGCGCAAATTGGTGACTGCAAAACATTTGTCACTCCACTTTATCATACACCCTGTGAAACTCTTGATATGTCCTCCAGACGTGAATGGCACTATAAAAACTATACCTGGAATAATTATTAACTAATTTTAGTGTTATTTATATTATTACGATGATGACAATAATTAAGGATACTCACTGCAGAGGAAACATGACTTGTGATAGCTCTTCCCATCACACTGCATCTCCTCAGCAAAGTAAACATTTTTCTGGCAGACGCCACATTTGTTTCCTCCTCCCAGGTTTGGCATTCTGCAACAAACACAGACACATATTTGTGAAAAATAACAGAGATCATTCAGCGACGCTGAATTCCCATCCGAGTCGCTTGGACTCCAATTCTGGTAAATAGTCAATTAATCGGACTTCAGATTTACCGCTGACATCCTGGCACTTCATCAGCTCGTTCCTACTTTTAAACCGAATAAGGATGCGGAAATGTTTAGACATGGACGGTCTTAAAACCTGTTCAGACGGGGAGCGGAGAGACAATAGACAACCGGGTTCCTACTTCCTGCTCGGTAAACAGAGGCGTGTGGAGTAAAGAAACTTGCCCAATGTTTCGCCCTGCCCGGGAATCAAATCCAGGTCTCTCACTTGCGAGGCAAGTGTTCTAACCACTGAACTGCAGGACTCCACATACAATGAGCCCCAATGAATCCCCTGCAGCTTTTACAAAAAAGGCATGCAAATGAGGAAGTACATGACAGATCAGATTCTCTGCTGCCAAACAAAGGTACGTGGCACACGGAACAGGGTGTGACAAAGTGAAGAGCAAAAATATATTTGTTGAGAAACCATATTGTACAAAGTAGTTTTATTTTACACTGACAGAAATCACAACAGCAACCACAAGTTGCATTTTTATAGCGCCCTTCACACAGGATAGTTGCTCAGAACGCTGCACAATGGTGGGGTTGGACATTGAGAAGGGGAGGTGACCATAGCCTAAAGAGGTGAGCCTCAAGGTGGGATTTAAAAATAGACAGATGGAGAGGTGAGATGGACGAATTGAGGCAGGGAGTTCTAGAAGTTAGGGACATAGTGACTTAGGCTCTATAATGTCAGGTTTTTTTTTAAGGCCACGTCAGTATTAGTAACATTAGAAATAGACATAACAAAAAAAAAGGATTGAAATGATATGGTCAGAATCAGCAACAGAAATAACAAGTCTAATGCTTCAAGTCTCCTTCAGGCGATTTCAACAAAGAGAGAGAAATTCCGCAGAGTTGAAAAGTGATCCCTCGAATCTTGCCTCGCCTCCCTGCCTCGCTGCTGTGAAAGCTCTTCATTCTGTGGCCTTAGCTCACTCGTCTCACACTGTTCCACCACCCCCAGCTTGGAAAGCTATCATCACCATAAAGATTCCATACCTGCGTGAAACTAATGCGTTGGGATACGGCTCGAATCCTCCAGCAAACAACTACCCAAACATTCCTCAACTTCGCTTTCGCTCACCTTGCTCCCTTTTCTCCTCCCATGCACACCTCTCCCCTCCCTCCCTCACCTTGGGAGCCCAGGGAGCAGTGTGAAATGCTTTGTGATGTCTTCTGGATATAAAAGGCACCAAATGAAATGGAAACAGTCTGACCAGCAAGTTATTTGCTGCCTATCATTATTATTGAAATATTCAAAACCCTCAGGATGAAGTCGTTACAAAGACCCACCAAATACCTGGTAATTTCATGCCAGAACCTGCCTTGATGCCCTTATTAGCTGTGCATTTATTGATTGGAATTCTTTACGATTGATGCTCATGAAGGAGATTTGCCTTGAGGGCAACACGAGTGTGGTCAATGTCCCCTCATTCTCTGAGAAAGCCCATCACTGCACTTTACAGTCATTCCTGTGGAATGCTTTGAGGCATCATCCAGACATGAACAGACATTACAGCAACAACAACTTGCATTTATTTAGCGCCCTCCACGCAGGGTAGCATCTCAGATCGCTTAAACAACTAATTGCAACAAATGCAAGGGTGTTTTTTAAATTAATAATTAGCTATTATTACTTATAAGTTATGATAAATATACTGTGAAGCACTTTGAGACGTCTCAATTCCATGATAAGGCACTGTATCAAATCTAAGGATTATTATTATCAAATTTTAATTTGATTTCCAATTGGGAAACTGGGGGCAATAAAAATCAAATCTGATACGGCCTCCAAACATAAAAGGAGTTATACCAAATGGAAGAATTGTATTCATTATTTTATTGTGATTATTATAACTTCCCACAACCCATATGGACAATTGACTGAATGCTGAAGGATTTTGCACACTGGCTCGGTTTTGCAATCGTGTCTGGAATCAGCCAGTTATATAACAGCTTCGCAGTACTTTCCTGGAAGCTCTACAAGTATTAATATTTTGCAACTTGCTTTTAAATCCAAAAGACATTGATCGCCCAGAGAGAGTGGGGCAGGAGGAATCTGAACAGCAAACCATTCGCTGCCTCTCGTTGTTATTTGAATATTCAGAATAAAGGTTATTTACTAAGAAAAACACATGGAGAAGAAACTCAAGCCATAGAATTTTTTTTTTTAAAAAATACTACAAATGCTGGTCAAACGAACATATGAAAAGGGAGACNAAAAAAAAAGGTTGACATTCCAGTCATATCACAAACAGAACCCAAGGGGATGAGGTCATCTTGTAAAGAAAAAAGAGCTAAAACTACACAACCACAAAGATACTAATCGAAGAGAGGGGCGGAGGGCGGGGGGGCAGGGGAAAACCTTTTCCATTCCAACCACACTGTGCAATTTCCTGTTACCAGTTTATCAAGAAGTTGGCTTGTCCTCCAGACAAGACGTTTGCAACCGTCAAGTCGCTCTCTGTAAACTCTATCTCGTTTTTGCCTAATATGGAAACTGGATTGAAACCCTTATTCACTTTGTGCAGTGAACAAAGCAGCTCTCCAAACCCACAACAAGGCACATAGTCAGTAAACAGTTTCTGCATTGCACTGCACTGCACTGCCCCCTCCTCCTCCTCCTCTTCTTCTTCTTCGTCTTCTTCTTCTTCCAACTTGGCTCATCTCAAATAAAGCTGCACTTCAAGTGTGAGGGCAAAGCACAGGGTCTTTGGTTAACTTTTTTTTTAATCCCAACTTTGTGAATGAGCAGATTAGCAGCTTTGCTCATTACACCTGGGACCCACTGTGTGTGTGTGTCAGTGCTTGTGTGTGTGTGTCAGTGCTTGTGTGTGTGTGTCAGTGCTTGTGTGTGTGTGTGTTAGTGCTTGTATGTGTGTGTCAGTGCTTATGTGTGTTAGTGCTTGTATGTGTGTGTGTGAGTGTGAGTGCTTGTTTGTGTGTGTTAGTGCCTGTGTGTGTGTGTCAGTGCTTGTGTGTGTGTGTGTCAGTGCTTGTGTGTGTGTGTCAGTGCTTGTGTGTTAGTGCTTGTATGTGTGTGTGTGTGTGTGTGAGTGCTTGTGTGTGTGAGTGTGTATGTGTGTGAGTGCTTGTGTGTGTGTGAGTGTGTGTTAGTGCTTGTGTGTGTGTGAGTGTGTGTGTGTCAGTGTGTGTGTGTCAGTGTGTGTGTTAGTGCTTGTATGTGTGTGTCAGTGCTTATGTGTGTTAGTGCTTGTATGTGTGTGTGAGAGTGCATGTGTGAGAGTGCTTGTGTGTGAGTGCTTGTGTGTGTGTGTCAGTGTGTGTGTGTGTGAGAGTGCTTGTGTGTGTGAGTGTGTGTGAGAGTGCTTGTGAGTGTGAGTGTGTGAGAGTGCTTGTGTGTGTGTGAGTGCGTGTGAGTGCTTGTGTGTGTGAGTGTGTGTGTGAGTGTGTGTGTTAGTGCTTGTGTGTGTGTGAGTGTGTGTGTGTCAGTGTGTGTGTGTGTGTGTTAGTGCTTGTATGTGTGTGTCAGTGCTTATGTGTGTTAGTGCTTGTATGTGTGTGTGAGAGTGCATGTGTGAGAGTGCTTGTGTGTGAGTGCTTGTGTGTGTGTGTGTCAGTGTGTGTGTCAGTGTGTGTGTGTGTGTGTGAGAGTGCTTGTGAGTGTGAGTGTGTGAGAGTGCTTGTGTGTGTGTGTGTGTGAGTGCTTGTGTGAGTGTGTGAGAGTGCTTGTGTGTGTGTGAGTGCTTGTGTGTGTGAGTGCTTGTGTGAGTGTGTGAGAGTGCTTGTGTGTGTGTGTGTGTCAGTGTGAGTGCTTGTGTGAGTGTGAGTGCTTGTGTGTGAGTGTGTGTGTGTGAGAGTGCTTGTGAGTGTAAGTGTGTGTCAGTGTGTGTGAGTGCTTGTGTGTGTGTGTGTGAGTGCTTGTGTGAGTGTGTGAGAGTGCTTGTGTGTGAGTGTGTGTGAGTGTGTGTGTGGGTGGTGTGTGTAGTGGTGGGTGGTGTGTGTGGTGGTGGGTGGTGTGGGTGGTGGTGGTGTGTGAGTGTGAGAGTGCTTGTGTGTGAGTGTGTGTGTGTGGAGTGCTTGTGTGTGAGTGTGAGTGAGTGTGTGAGAATGCTTGTGTGTGAGTGTGTGAGAATGCTTGTGTGTGAGTGTGAGTGAGTGTGTGAGAATGCTTGTGTGTGAGTGAGTGTGAGTGCTTGTGTGAGTGTGTGAGTGTGAGTGGTGTACAAGAGGTGATTGCTGCCCAGCCTTACCTGGTGGCTCCTGTTTGCTGAGGGTTTGTAGAGCTGATTTTCTCTGTCTCCACCAGAGAGTTGTGCAGTCAGCAGTGGATTTAAATGCCAGACACCGCCTCGTTTCTCTGCACTCAGCACCAAAAAAAAATGACGTTATAATTGTTCACAACCCTCACTCCTTTCATCTCCATTTCCAAAGGTTATAAAGATTCCTTCAGGGAGAGAGAGAGAGAGAGAGAAACGTTTGCAGAATTACGTTTGGATCACAAACAGTGACCTGTTTTGACCGCAAATGGTGTTTGTCTCAAATTAAACCTCTTATACAGTATTCCTGGCATTTATTATTGTGCCTTAGCACATGGTGGAAATATCTCAGAGTGCTTAGTAGGATTTATTGCAATGGCTAGTGACTGTGTATTTTGTGCAGGAGCCAATTTGTGCACAGCAATGTCCCACAAACACCCATGAAGTGCGTGATGACAATGATATGGAATAATAATCCTTGCATTTCATATGGCGCCTTATCGCGTCTTTGAGACATCTCGAAGAGTTTGCGATCACCTGGGGTTTACCTGGAAATGGAACAACAAACTTCCTAACTCAAGGTCAGTCACTGGGTTGAAGCTGGAGCTAACTTAGTTAGCTGATATATAGATAGCAATGCTTCATAAAATCCCTTCAATGAGACTTTCCTATTAAATCAGCACAACATAATAATAATAATAATAATAATAATAATAATCCTTGCATTTGATATAGTGCTTTTCACATCTTCTGGACATCTCAAAGCACTTCACAGAATATACTGTAAAGTGAATTGACCGAATATTTGTGGATGAAACACGTCAGCCGAGTATTGTTTGCTTAAAAAAAATTTGAATGATTGAGTTGGTGGGAGGCAGTCCTGAATCTCTTTTAGTTTGGGTCAGCAGTGACATAATTCTGGTCTCTGTTTGACCAGATATTTGCACTCTTGCCTCTGATTCAGAAGGTTTGGCTCCAGTCAACGTCTTTTCTCCTGTTGGTCTGAACTCCTCAACTTCCCCCGACTTGTGCTCACAGTCTAGACTGAAACTCCTGTGAAGCGCCAAGGGAGCTTGTTGGAGCTTCTGTCATTTGAAAGAGACATTAAGCCAAAGTCCTGCCTTGTCTGTTCTTTACCAGCCAGTGGACTTGTGAGCGGCCTAAGAATTAAAGGTTGGCAGAAATTTCTGCTCTTTGATAAAAAAAGATTAACTGGCATTGGTGTTGTTAGCTGTTGGCCTGAGTCCGGAGTGAGATTCACCCAGATTGACCCCGAGCTGGCAAGTAACATTTTATTTGTTCTACCAATGCAGTGTCGGCCAAACCTCTTCTTACTCGTGGAGCTGTCAAGAAGTGCCCCTTCCCCCGAACATTTACACGAGCCTACAGAAGTCCGTGTTCGATCGGTAGTGTTTTTCCAGGGTTTCCTTTATTGTGTATCATTTGCTTTATGGCATAAATTAACAAATATTCAATCAAGAAAATAGATTTTGATGGCAGATCAAAAGGATTGGCCACCAGGGTACTAATGCATCCAATCAGCGCTAGTGATATAACTGGGAATTGACACATTACCTCATGTTTTCTTTTAGGAAATAATCTTATACATTAGAATACATTAGAATATACAGCACAGAAACAGGCCATTCGGCCCAACTGGTCTATGCCGGTGTTCATGCTCCACATGAGCCTCCTTCTGCCTCAACTAAGCCTCCAAGCATAATCTTCTATTCCTTTCTCCCTCATGTACCTCTCGAGCTTTCCCTTAAATACATCTATGCTATTTGCCTCAACAACTCCTTGTGGGAGCATGTTCCACATTCCCACTACTCTCCGTGTGAAGAAATTTCTTCTAACTTCCCTATTTGATCTATTTGTGACTATTTTATATTAATGTCCCCTGGTTTTGGTCTCCCCCACAAGTGGAAACATCTTCCCTATGTCGACCCTATCAAAACCTTCCATCATTATAAAGACCTCTATCAGGTCACCCCTTACCCTCCTCTTTTCAAGAGAAAATAGTCCAAGTGTGTTCAGCCTTTCCTGATAAGTATAACCTCTCAGTTCTGGGATCATCTTTGTGAATCTCCTTTGCACCCTCTCCAGTGCCTCTACATCCCTTCTATAATATGGGGACCAGAATAGCACACAGTATTCTAAGTATGGGCTAACCAAGGTTCTGTAGAAATTTACCATAACTTCCCTGCTTTTCATTTATATCCCTCTAGAAATGAACCCCAATGCCTGGTTTGCCTTTTTTATGGCCTTATTAACTTGTGTTGCTACTTTTAGTGAATTGTGTATGTGTACCCCTAGGTCCCTTTGCTCCTCTACCAAATCTAGGTTTTTAATTTCCAGGATGTATGTGACTTCCTTATTCCGTCTACCAAAATGAACCACCTCACACTTTTCTACGTTGAAATGCATTTGCTATTTAAATGCCCATTTAGCAAGTTTATTAATGTCTTGCTATTTTTCCCCCTGACTCCAAATGCTCTGACCTTAATCATTAGTCTACTATGTGGTACTTTATCGTACCTTATGGGATATAGTACATAGATAGTTCGGGACATATGTGCATGCGATCGTCAGGAAGGTGGAAGGCAAACTAGATGGATTTTTTTTCATCTAGCATTTCTAGTTTATACTTTTAGAGAATACAAATACAAGGGCGGAACCATATACTATCTGGGTACACACCAAATCCTGCATCATATTTAGAAGCCCAGCAGCAACATAGGTTGACATATACTCTTTGAATACACTGCCTGGAAATGTTGACACTACACAACACTAACATTGTTGGAGGTTCCACCCTTCAATGAGATGTTAAACTAAGGCCCCATCTAACCTGTTCAGTTTGCTATTAAAGATCCCATGACACTACATACATAAAAAAGAGAAGGAAGTTTCTCCCGGTGTCCTGGTCAACGATCCTTCAAATAACTTGGTCATTCAAATGCGTCCTGTAGCTCTGTGGTTAGAGCACTCGCCTCGCAAGCGAGAGACCTGGGTTTGATTCTCGATAGGGCGAAATGTTGGGCAAGTTTCCTTCCTCCATACGCCTCTGTTTACCTAGCAGTAAGTAGGAACCCGATTGTTAGTCAATTGGCAGATCGTTTTCTGAGATAATAATCCTTAAAAAAAAACAATAAATTTGGTCACTCAATCCACGACTGTTTATGCGACACTTCTGTGCGCAATTGGCTGCTGCGTTTCGCCCATAATTATACAGTCAATTCACTTTACAGTATATTCTGTGAAGCACTTTGAGACGTCTAGAAGACGTGAAAAGCGCTATATCAAATGCAAGGATTATTATTATTATTATTCACTTCATGGCTGTTTGTGGGATATTACTGTATGCAAATTGGCTGCCATATTCACCCACAAAATACTGTCACACCACTTTACAATGTATCCTGTGAAGCACTTTGGGATATTCGCCTAAGACTATAGGAAATGTAAGTATTATTATTATTTTAACCCTGAGTCTCACCTCAGCCCACCTTGGAGCAATGTATGCCTATCATTTCATTGCATTTTTCCCCCTGTTAAACAGCTCCTCTAAAGAAAGATGGCCATCAGTGACTTAAACTGTGTGGTGACTCTGGTGTCTGGTGGACAGAATCACTTGGGAAAACCAAACTGTGGGTAGAGTGGAATCGATTGGGTAGTTTAAAGGGGAGGTAGATAGATACTTGGAGGTAGAGGTGTTAAGAATGGAGAAACAACAACAAGATTACATTTATTTAGCACCTTTCACATCAGGAGGACATCCACAGCAAGGAAATGGGCTAAAAAATCTACCACAATCTAATAAAATGGTACAAGAGGCTCAGTGGGTGAACTCAATGGCCTCCACCTGTTTCTAAGTATCTAAATAGGCAATTTGGCTGCTGCATTCTCCTACAAATATGCAATCACAACACTTTACAGAAAAATCCTGTGGCACACTTTGAAATGTTTCGACGATGTGATAAGGTGCTGCATCAAATGCAAGGATTATTATTATTATTATGATGATATGCCTTTGGCGTACTCGTTACTTCAGAACCCTGAAAGAGATGCATTGTATTGAATGTGCACAATGGGCAACCTGGTTTAATTCCAAAATTCAGGATCACCAGACATCTATGTACATGTGGAGTCCTGTAGCTCAGTGGTTAGAGCACTCGCCTCGCAAGCGAGAGACCTGGGTTCGATCCCCGGCAGAACGAAATGTTGGGCAAGTTTCTTTATTCACACGCCACTGTTTACTAAGCATTACATAGGAATCCGGTTGTTGGTCGATTGGCGGATCGCTTTTCCAGGGGTAATAACTCCTTCAAAAAAATAATAAAACGGTCACTTCAATCCATGACTGTTTGTGGGACACTACTGTGCGCAATTGGCTGCTGCATTTTGCCCACAAAATATACAGTCAGTTCTCTTTGCAGCATATTCTGTGAAGCGCTTTGAGACGTCTCAAAGACGTGATAGGGCGCTATATCAAATGTAAGGATGAGTATTATTATTATATGTATATACACATATGATGCATTTATATATCATGAGCATTCCCAGCAGATGTGAGTATATGTTCAAAAGATTGGAAAAAGCAAGAGCCCCCAGTATACCCTAGTCCTGGTGTATTTACTCATGTATTGGCACATGATTTGTCTACACAAGGATTCAGACTTTGATCGGTGGGTAATAAGAGGGAAAACAGTGAAACCGTGAAACACAGCAGCATAGAAGTCGGCAGTCTGGCTTAAATCACCATGGAAACGTAGTCACGAGTGTGAAATCAATAATGTGTGCTTTTTTCTGAAACATACAGCCTTTTCGTTGTCAAAGTAATGTGAATGCAACACGAAAAAACACATGGAGACATTAGACACCTGAAGAGAGGCTGCACCTGGATCATTGATTGAGAAAAACGTCAGCACTCTCACCTTTGAGAAGACTTTGTGGGTTTAAGCCCCATGTTGGATCTTTGACCTCATGGTCTAGTTTGACACTCCAATTCAGTGCTGGGGGTGCGGGGGGAGTGCTGCAATATTGGAAGTGCTGTCCTCTACAACAAGATGTAAAAACC